TTAGAATCAGATTGTAGATATTGATCTTTTCAACCAGACACATTTCCAGTTATGTGTGTTCAAATCTGATCTTTCTAACGTTTTGGGGTTCTGCAACAAATTCTTAATTTGCTGCAACTATTTCATATATTTGGTGAGTTGTCAAGTCAATTTGACTTCTGACATTAAATCCCAGACTGAGTTCTAGGCTGTTAAGAAACTTGGACTCCAGTCAAAAGCCAGCCATAGGAATAAGAATGTTTGTACCACAAGAAAATGAAACATTTTGTCTTATCACTAACAACAGCCTTGTCATATCTTGCCTCAATCTATTCTAAAGTATGTAAATTTCAGAGCAAAGACAAAGATAATTAATGATTAGATCACAAAGGTCAATTCATACAAGAAGTTAATTTCCTAAAGGCCACCCTCTCTGAATCAGATACATTGACTATAATCTGCCTGATCCTCCTGTTTCACATGATAATTAGTGTCACTCTGCTGGTTTAGTTGAGTGAACGTTATCTGAAAAATACATAAGAAGGTAAGACCATATGGATGCTGTTAGTGCTTATTATCAGGACAGAGGACTGATCCTGATATTGATTGAACAGCAGGAATAGAAACAGATAGATTTGAGTTCTTTTTATGTATTCTTTGTCAGCAGGGTTTAAACATGAAAGGGAAATATTTGAAAGATGTAAGGGGACTACACGAGAGGATGTATGCTAGGCAAACAGTCATAGAGAAACAAACCTGACTAAGCTTCCCTAGCTAATCCTGCTCAATTTTACCTGATGAAAATTGAATCACAGCAGAGTACGACAGATGTGGAGCAGGGCAATGCTGATTGCACAACCATCCACATAATCAATTTTATTCATAAATTACTATCAATTCTTTCTTACAAGAGGTTGTATTGCTTGGAACCTTAGATGAGTTTGTACTGTAGTCCCATCAGTGTTTTATTTATTGATTTAACTTTTTCCTTACAAATGTTTCTCTCGAGTGTTTTTGTGCCTTGTAATTCGTGTTATGTTTTGTATGTGTTTATATGTGTGTCCCATGTCATTCCAAACCCTCTCTCTCCCCAGTTTCCTACTCCTACTGTGTTTAGAAAAATGTGCATCATTATCATTTTCTTCCTAATTAATTTTTTATTTTATAATAGTGAACTCAGAGACATAAGTAAGTGTGCGTGACATGCTAATATCTATAAATCTCATACAGCCTGCCCGGCTAAGTCCTGTTAATGTTGTAAATCGATTCAGAGTGCTACAAGGTTTGCAGGTGGGACTGTTTATTAGATTACAAGGATTGAGAGAACATTGATTATCTGAGACAATAACGGAGAAGATGGTGAACATTAATAGAAAGAGGGCTCTAATACATAATTCATAGTAACGCAGACAATGGCAGGACAAGTCCATTAAGCTGTGCAAGATGGAGGATAACAAATGCTGCAGAGAATTCTTTATGCAATGCAGATGTGTGTGCGTCTCTAACTTGTGTGTGTGTTTTGTGTTTCAAGACAATGTTTGATAATAAAGGAATCGATGACCTAAAAGAATCTTAAAAACAAGCTTCGAATCTCACACACAGATGCTTGTGAGAGGAGAAAAAACACTTTTTCTAAGCCAAGGTTATGGTTTGATTTGATGTGGTTGTGTAAAACTTCATGTTGTGTTTTCCATTATGCCCTACGGGAAATCCCTGTTGGTTTCTCCAATTAATTAACATCGTAGTTTATTGCAAAGGCTCCTCGCATAAATTATGTTGAGCTAAGCAGGGCTGGCTATATGTGTGTGTCTTGTGTGGGCGTCTCCAGATCTGCACTTGTGATAGTGTATGAGTGTGTGTGTGTGTGTGTGTGTGTGTGTGTGTGTGTGTGTGTGTGGTTTTGTGTGTGTGTGTGTGTGTGTGTGTGAGTGTGGTTTTGTGTGTGTGTGTGTGTGTGTGTGTGAGTGTGGTTTTGTGTGTGTGTGTGTGTGTGTGTGTGTGTGTGTGAGTGTGTTTTGTGTGTGTGTGTGTGTGTGTGTGTGTGTGTGTGTGTGTGTGTGTGTGTGTGAGTGTGGTTTTGTGTGTGTGTGTGTGTGTGTGTGTGTGTGTTTGTGAGTGTGGTTTTGTGTGTGTGTGTGTGTGTGTGTGAGTGTGGTTTGTGTGTGTGTGTGTGTGTGTGTGTGTGTGTGTGTGTGTGTGTGTGTGTGTGTGTGTGTGTGTGTGTGTGTGTGTGTGTGTGTGTGTGTGTGTGTGTGTGTGTGTGGTTGTGTGTGTGTGTGTGTGTGTGTGTGTGTGTGTGTGTGATGGTTTGTGTTTGCAAGTTTGTGTGTGTTAATCTTTCACAAGTGTAGTCCAAATCCCTGAGTCAGAGGCTTATCAACTCTTCACTTCGTCAACTCTATTAGCATTATCCACCATTATGAACCTGTAGAGGATGGACGTTTTTAAAGATAAAAGGTAAGCATTTTATTTGATACACCACGCTGCCGACTTTTATGTGGCACAACATATTTACTTCACACTATTTGTTTTTTGCTGATGTTTGTGTTCTTGTTTTTTACCCTAAAATTGTTTAATATTCACTGTTTTCTCATTTAGTGCAATGCACGGGGGCCCACTCGCTTTGGGGCACCCATAGCAACTGTCAGAATAAGTAATATCATTAATGGTAGTAAGCGAGCTCCTGTTAGCGCTTAAAACTACGATAGCACTATTATTGTTAATCTCATACAGGTATGTTGAAAAATGTGCACCTTCCGTTGGGTCTGTGTACAAACATATAAGTGTCTATGGTTGTCTTCATGGCTATGTGTTTAATTCTCATCAGTACAGGGTGTAATCTGCCCGTTGAACAGATTTTAGATCTATGGTAGTTTGATTTAACCAGGCTGAGGTGGTTTGAGGCAGACTGTTAGATATATGTGTCGCCTAGGGTTGCTGTCTATGGTGCTGATCCGAGGCTGCTTTGGTGTTTTTCTGCATGGGGACATAAATAGTCTGTTGTGGAGTTGTTTTAAATAGTTGTGTTTGTGCAAATGAGCGTGAGCATCAGTTTGGGGCAAGGGGAGGGCCAAAAACATATCTTTGCACTAGAGCCCAGCACAAGTTCATTATGCTGCTGTTGAGCCCCCTATTTTATTTACTGTAAGTGAAGAAAAAAATATTGGTAAAGATTCATTGTGAACATTGAATACTCTCTAACCTAGAGAGACGGACAAAATGAGTAAGACTGTCTCAAATTAATCAAATTAATTGAGCCTGACCAATATGTCCTTCGACTGATATTATGTCGCTGGTATGTGATGCTTTAAATTCAGTTCATGTGTATCAGTGTTGTTCTCTCCTATCATTTACTTATATTGCTGCTTTGTAGTAGATGCAGATTTTTACCTTTTCTATAGTTTTTATTTTTATAGTCTTTATTCTATTCTATGAATATAAACATTTTAAAACCAATTTTATAGTAATTGCTATTTTTTTGTCCTATTTATCCTATTTCTTATACTGCAGCTTGTATCTTATTCTGCACTATGCTGATCAGTGAAATGCTTTGCTTTGATATGTTATTAAACATGGCTGATTTTGGTGCCAATGTTCTCCCACACAAAAACATATGAAATCCGAGACGCATACATCCACGGTGGTTTGTTTAACCTAGCAGAGTGTTTATCGTGCTGTCTGCCAATGATGTGCCCCTGGACCTGACATCAGCGGGAATCAATGGGAGCCAGCATAGCTAATATATCAGATGTACATCTTTGTGATTCTGCATATTGTATGGTTGTGTTTGTTTGTGTCTGTCTGAAGTCCCTCAGTGAGGCTGTGAGTTAATATTTGTCACCAGACCATGACACGGCACTGGTAGTTTTAACCCTTCACTAAACAAAAATGTCAAACTCGTCTCAATCAAAGTCAGCCTCTTAACCTTCCCTCTCCTCCTCACCCCACCATGCACCTCTGTATGACTTAGAATCCATCTTTTCTTCCTTTAGTTTTAGTCTCTCTTCCCTCCATCTCTTTCTGAATGCTAATACTGTAGTGTTTGGCGCTCTGTCTTAAATCACACCTGAGTGCAATGAACTCACACACACACACTGTCACGACCCATGTGCTTGCTCCAGCACATTAATAGAGATTCTGTCAGCGCCTCAGGAAGAAATTACTGCCACTTGCTGAGCCTTTTCACTCACTGTCTATCATAAATACGCACAAAGACCTACAGTACAGTGTACACACACACAGCTTCTATACTTTCATGACCTCATTCTTGCTCATTCATGCATTATATTTAGATTTGATGGTCAACTCTTGTAATTGCATACATAAATAAATGCAAACTTAAACCTTACTGAATAATGTTTTGTTCCCGAGTTTCACAAAAACATGTTTTTTTTAATGGATGAGACGTAGAGATTTTCTCTAAGCTTTTCATTCTCTTTCTTCATGACCTCATTCATCTCCTTCGCCTAAAAACCATCTCTCTCACTTCTTCCATCCCTTTCGCTGCATTAACTAGTTCACTTTATTCACTCCCCTCAATTCAATCTCTTTTAGGCCAAAGGTTTGTTATTGGCATAAGAAACAAAAGTAGCTTCTGCAAAAAAGCATAAAGTCTTTCTTTCTTTCTTTTTTCTTTCTTTCTTTCTTTTTTTCTTTCTTTCTTTCTCTCATCCCTTGATCCCTTTAGCTATTGGCCAGAGGAATCTCTCTCCCATATGTTTCTGCTGAATCTATTTCCAAACTCAAACTTTAGTTGCGTTTGTTTTGTTGTTTATCATTTTAACCTGAAACATTAATCAAAAGTGGCATCTGTCTGCCTAAAGGATTAAATTATAGTCATACGCAATGCTGAGTCTCTTACGATAAATCAGCATTATTTGATTATTGATTCCATTTATGCAGCTAGAAAAAGACATTCATCTTCTCTGTTGCACACACTCAGGGACAAAGTAAGGACATGAGAGGAGAATAAAACACATAGTTGCACACACTTTCTCATGTCTATGTCAAACCTGACTTACCTCAGTGAGGTGCGGGTTGGGGTTGAATCCACACTGGTTACAAACGGTGGACTTGCACTGGGTGCAGGTGTTGTAGTTGGGTACAGCCGGTGGGTTGGACAGCTCTGTGGTGGTGCACACTGGGCACAACCTGCTCTTAGGCATTGGTGCGATCTGTGGCACAGAGTAGGGCGAAGTAGGTGTCACGCCGCGGTCAGGAGACACAGAGGATGTCCGACCTGTTCTGGAGCCACCCGAACCACTGAAGTCAACTTGGAGATTACGACGGGAGGCGTGCTGACCAGGACTTTGACCTGAATGGCCTCCCATGTTGGATCCAGCTGGGCTGTGACCCATCCCGTGGCCAGACCCCGTACCCTGCCCCATGCCATGCCCCTGACTTGACTGCATATGACGGGGGGAAGATGGACTCTCATGGGTAGCCAGGCGGTAGGGCTCACCGGCTCTGGACCCCATTCCTCCACCTGTGCCCATGCCTGCTCCTATTCCTCCTCCTCCTCCCATCCCTCCCATTCCTCCTCCTCCCATACCTCCCATTCCTCCTCCTCCCATACCTCCCATTCCTCCTCCTCCCATACCTCCCATTCCTCCTCCTCCCATACCTCCCATTCCACCTCCTCCCATACCTCCCATGCCTCCCATTCCACCTCCTCCCATGCCTCCCATTCCACCTCCTCCCATGCTTCCCATGCCTCCCATTCCTCCTCCCATTCCTCCTCCGCCCATGCCTCCCATTCCTCCCATTCCTCCTCCGCCCATTCCTCCTATTCCACTTCCTCCATGGCCTCCTTGTTGCATGCCTGGTTTGGGGCTACCCATTGAACCCATCTGACCCCTGAAAGAGAGGGAAAAAGCAAAAGAAAAGTGATTAGTGTTTAAATAATTACAATGACGCAGTTGCTGTTAAATTCTATGAAATTACAAGTTTAAGCACCAGGTTAGATTTCCGCCATTGTCAAAGTTCAATGAAAAGGAATTGGACGTCGTCCACTCTGTAGAACATTGTAATATTTGATTCTGGGTAATATTTGTAAGAGAATATCTGATCCAAAGTTCTTACAATCATTGTCCTGAACAAGATCTTTAAAATGATTGAGAGTATTCGGGACATTAACCAGAATAGTACGCCTGTCAAGCTCTTGTATTCTCCTAATGTACATGAGGGCTTGTGACAGAGATTGCAGTAGTCTGAAGCAACTCTCAATGTAGACCAAGCAAAACTGTATGAGAATGCTAATGCCTTTGTCTGCTCCGAATGGAACTGAAAACTTTAGCATGTTCAGCTAACTAGCATACTAATTGGCCAACAGTAGTAACACATGGTTCGCAGGCCAGAGGCATTTCATGCTTCATTTTTTCATTGCTTGGCACTTAAGAGAGGGGCAAGAAGCCAAACTCAAGACTGGCACAATCACTTTGAAGTATTTCCTCACTTTTTTTAGTCCTTGGTCCTACCATGTCAAGTTGTACATATTGGAATGGACCTGAAGACTAGCGGTCCAAAGGACATGGCATAAAATGACTCGGGGCATGTCCAGCTACACTTCGCTGTTTGAACAGCATAAAATCTGGGTGCTAAGTGAAAGGCAGATTGCAAAAACATTGGATTAAATGGATTGATTACAGATAGATCTGTTATGGGCGTAACATGAATCAGAGTTAGCTCTCATTCCTTTTCAGAGTCAGGGTCGCCTGCAGGCAGACCTGTCGATTTATCTAAATGGCTCATGTAACGTCTCTCGTTCAATTGTGAAGAACCAATATGCCCAAGGGTGTTAACTTGGGCATACGTTAAGTCATTAATTTACACAACATGGGTGAGGGCCATGAAAGTGAGAACTGAGTAGGATGGAAAATACCAAAAGAAGAAACTTGTGCTGCTCACCTAAAAGCTTCACACCTGGTTTATGATCGAGCTCCTAAGACTAACTCAACACTGCAATACAGTCATGTCTTCTTCACTAATATCTTGAATATTTTTTTGTGTCGTCTTTTGGAATATGTCAGTTTAACATTTGAAAGTCAACCAACACATGACCATTACTTAGCTTTCTTGCATCAAAATCAATAATTGTGGCTGAAAAATAAGAAACCCGCAAAGGATTGACACTGCCTGATCTCAAATGGGGAGCTATTATTTATAATTTAACTACTCACAACTCCCAAACTGTACCGAATTCTCAATGAAACAAAAATCTGTAAATCATCGGTCAGTGATGTTTTGAAAAGGGATATAATCAATTCATTCTGAACATTTATATAGAGTTGAATAATTCTATTCTGCAGCCAGACCAGAGTAAATGTAAAAAGCAGCATTGGTTGATACCACCATAGCATTTAATTGGAAAAATATCTTAATTTTATGTAATATATTATGAAATGAATGAGCAGAACAGGAGAGTTCAGCTAAGTTATTGTACCTTTATTCAAAGAAATTCAATTATCTGCTTTCTGCCAGAGAAACAGCAGCACAAAAAAACATTAAAACACAGCAAAGTAATGAGTCTTTCATTCATTGGTAGCTGCTGAAAGCCATGAAAATACTGCTGAACTTCCACAGGCATCAACACATTTAAGTGGAACATCACAGACTGAAGCAAGAGAGACTAGGCATACACACATTCATAGCTTTACTGTGTGTAAATGGCAACACACACACACACACACACACACACACACACACACACACACACACACACACAAACTTGAGGAAGAAAATAACCCACATTCAAACATCTCCACAACATACAATCATCACACCCAAGGCATGAGACACAAACACAAACACACACCTGAGGGAAAGCAAACGGGTACAAACTTTGCCCGAAGACACTTATTAAAAAGAGAAGTTGAAGTTCATAATGGTATCTTTAGAGGTTTTTGAAGGTTTTTCCGCATTGAACATAAAAAAGAAGACTCTGTTTTTATAAAGTCATGTGACAGAACAAAAACAATGTATCAAACCAGATCTGTTCATTAACAAAACTCCAGTGATATCACCCTGTTTTAAATATTTAAAATCTGCATTATCGATGACTTACTGCACACATGCAACCTACATCAGTGTAAGGAGTTAAACAAGCACTACCTGGTTTGGATTTTTCTATGCCATGATGTAATTCAGCTTTAATCTTACATTTTGCACCATGATCCAAAGCATTTCAACTGGATTTCATTAATAAACTAAAGTGTTTTAACCACACAACATTTGAAAGGTGACTGAAGCGGTACATAACTGACAAAGCATTTCTCCAAAGCGTTATTGGACGTGAGCAATTTAACTTTCAGTATTCAGGCTGAAATAACACAAGCTTAGTGCAAAATCAGTGCAAATGCACATTTTAGGTCTATTCTTAGACAGTTATGTTTTTTTCAAATGAGGTTTTCCTCCTTTTCATAAAACAATCCCTTTCATACACGTTCAGTTCTCAAAAACATCTTGGTCCACATGAAAACGCAAAACACACTGTTACGGCTATCATGAGCATGCCAAGTCAACAATGATGTCCATAACATGCTAAAATGTTCTCGCCATTTACAAAGTTGTCCATTCAGGCATCTCTGCTCATCCTCATAGAGGGAGAGTAACTGTGTATGTACAGTATGTGTTAGCATGTAAAAAGTCCAGTTAGCAACGTAACCAGCACTAGGTTGATTACGTCTGCCATCACACTCATCTCATGTAAACAAAAGTGACAGCGTCGCACAATGACGTCAAACGGAGGAGAAACGAGAGCACAGTGTGATGTTACAAGCGCAAAACTCTGTTTTCCCCGTCTACACATAAACACCTTAAACAGAGTTTCTGAAAACTTCTTCCTGGAAGGAGTTTTCAGAAACTATGTTTTCAGTGACCTAAAAAGACAATCGCATACAAAAGCCCAAAACGCACAGAAAAACCACCGTTTTCAAAAATATCCGCCTACTTGTGAACTAGACCTTAATCATGTCCATTTTCTGTGATTGAGTTATTATTGCTGCCTCTGTATAGGAAATGTCTCTGATCCTGCTTCCAAAGTAAGTGCACCTCTAAAACATCCATAAAATAAAACTTGATGATGACTGTAATCAGACAACCTTTTTCGATTTGCTGTTATTGTCTTTGAAAAGAAAAGTACAGAGAGTCAGTCTTCTGGACGTTGATTTTATTTTAGGAAGTTAAATATATTTCTGAGAAGAAATACTGCCGCTCATTTTAAATCACGCAAGATGTTTTTTGTTTTTTTTGCTTAACAGAAGTGTATCTATTGTGTAGTATCATGAATTACTTCTCATAAATCCCAAAATGGGTTAGATTTATATAGGGGGATTTTTCTTGTTTATTCTTCTATTCTTTGGTCTGTGCTGTCATTGATTGAAGAAGTCTAGGCTCGGTGTGAAGCCAGCTGTAAATGGTCAGAGCACACTGAAATTGGAAATGTTGATTTACTGAGCTCCAGTGTCACAATGTTCCAGGCTGCTTCCCCGTTTACTGAGAGGTTTTCTTCTTGTGAACAGTCTGGCAGTGACAAAATCTCCTCTGCCAGCCTATGACTTTTTCTCCTTTTCTAAGCTATTTGTCTTTCTGCTCTCAAACTTTCTCTAAACTAACTTTTTATCTGCCACATCTCGCTCTGTTGGCTCACTCACTTAACTCTTCATTGCCTCTCTATTTCTCTCTCTTTTTGCTTTTTTTTACTTTATGACGGGACTCAAAGGACAGGTGAACCATAGCCAACCAAAGCTATGAGAATTTTAAGTTGATAATGATTTCAATAACTTAATAACTTTTAAAAGAGTGAAAAACCAACTTTCCGTTGGTTGAGTGATGTTGTTACTGTGGCTCTTTAATATATATTTTTTTAATATCATGGATAAAAACTCTTGTATTTACTTTTATTGAGGGTCCTCATCTTTTTCCACCCCTGTGCCCAATCTTTAATGGAGTTGAGTTTAATACAGAGTATGTTTACCTACAGACATAGACACGGTCTTAAGATTGTATCCACGTATTTTAATTTTTTATTGTATACATATCTTCAAAAAAGATCTTACTGTATATCATAAATGCCTTTATGTACATTAAGATTATTCATAGTAGATAAAATGTTTCAAACTCTGAGCTGATTACATTCCACCTCTAGTTGCATTGCAGTGGAGTCCTTCACAAATGTTTGAGTTTGAATGTGAACACTTCTATATAAAAAAACTATGGGGTTTTGGATTATAGGGTTGCATGACACAAATATAGATGTCGGCTAAGAATTAAACATGAAACCATGACAGAGCTAGAGATACTGATTTTCTATTTCCAGGAAGAGCCCAGCACTAATTGTTGTTGTGAGAAACTGATGCTGATGTAGGTGACACACCAAATAATAGGAACTGTCCTTCTCTCTGTGTGTTTACTCACTTCAACTTGGCGTCACACTGGAGACATTCATCACTGTCCGACCAGCTCTAATGACCCAATACACATGCTTGTTCAGTCAAAGTGATTTCACCCCCTCCCATTATAACCCTTAATTTAGTATCTGATTGTGGGCGAAAGGGATAAGGCTTGTCTGTCTATGGAGTGTAAGTGACAAAGACAAGGACAGGGACGGACGATGAGAGAGGGGTAGAGACCGAGAAGGAGAAAAAGAAAATGGATGTGAAGTTTTTTCCTAGGTCTCTGGAGAAAGAAACAAACAGGACCTTCAAGATCTGTCACAAAGAGCTGTTAGATTTCTTAACTCTTTGATGTTATTCCCACTCAAAAACAGTTTCATTTTCAGCATAGAGATATTCACAAAAAACTTCCTATTGCTAAGCACCAAACCTTTCGATGTAATGGTTGGTGTTGATTTTGTGAAA